ATTTAATAATAATAGTAATAATAATAATAAATAAAAATAAAAGCCTAAAAAGGAGAGGAGAGTCTGAAGGGATTCAATTTTTCCAGAAAAAATTCTTAATAATGTCAAATCTAATTGTATTTACATATACTTTAAATTTATGTTTTATATATAATTTCTTTTAATTCTGATAACAAATTATATTTTGATAGCTAATTTAAATAAAAAATTATTAAATTTAGTAAATAATGTTTATATTAAGCATTAATTGTAAAACTGGTTTCAGTAGTAACAAAGTAAAATTATATCAAAATAAAAGAATAAAATGATAAATAAAGGGTAAAGTTTTAAAATATAATCAATAAAGTTTATATTAAAGAGTATTGATTGGATTGATCCGTTATTTTTAGTAGCTATTTGTTTTCTTAAAATAGCAAATTAATGCTTAGTAAATTAATTAACTGCAAAATTTTTCACAATAATTGTCATATAAGATGATTTACAATTTTTTATTAATTTAGGATTAGTTACTTTTTAAATGATTGCATCATATATTTAAAAGAAAACTTTCTGACTTTCTACATTTTTTTTTTAAAAAAAAATGTAATTTTTAAATTTAACAATTTATGAAAAAAAAGCTTAATAATTGTAATAAAAACCTTTACTTAAATAACTTTTTTAATATAATTAAGGTTTCAATTCTCTGATTAGCTATTAATGAAAAAAATGATAATTATTTTCTATTATATATTTTCGCTATATTTTATTTGCAAATCATTTTTTAATCATTTAAATTCTAAAATCAACCAATCAAGAATTTAACGATTTATATAAAATCATTAATGTAATGCAAAAAAATAGATCATCATAATTAGGGTATCTCAAAATCAAATCAAATCAAATATTTAAGTAATTTGAATTTGGATTTTTTCAAATCAAATCAAATTGAATTGAACTCAAATATTTAATTGAATCAATTTAAATCAATTTGAATTTAATCGAATTGAATTAAATTGAATAAAATATTTGTCAAATCAAATTAAATCAAATCAAATCAGATTGAATCGAATAGAATCGAATATAGATTTTTATAATGATATATTAAAATAAAGTTATTTTAAAGTTTTAATTAAGAAAATTATTGTAATTGTACTAAAAAATTTCAAAAATAACTTTTACAAAGTAAGTTTAGTAACAGGTGAAATTTTACTATTAAAGTTAGTAAAATAACTCTGCAGTCTCAGTTTTATTAAGAATATTTAGTAATAACCATCATCATAGCTTTGGTTTACTAAGAAAACTTAGTAATAATTACCATCACAGCTTCAGTTTTACTAAGAAACTTAGTAATAATCACTATTATAGCTTTGTTTTATTAAGAAAACTTAATAATAATCACTATCACAGCTTTAGTTTTACTAAAAACTTAATAATAACTGCTATTGAGACTTTAGTTTTACTAAGGAAATTTAGTAATAATTGCTATCACAGCTTCAGTTTTACTAAGAAAATTTAGTAATAATTACTATCATTGCTTTATTAGTAAAAAATGGTTCTGAAGCTGATAACGTGTTTTTACTAGATTTCTTAATAAAAAATGTCTCCAAAGCTTCAAAGACATTTTTTACTATGTTTTCTTAGTAAAAATAATTTTTCGAAGCTACAAAGGCGTTTTTTACTATATTTTTTAGTAAAAATAATGTTTCTAAAGTTACAGAGGTATTTTTACTATGATTTTCTTAGTAAAAAGGCATTTCTAAAGCTGTGAAGACATTTTTTACTATGTTTTCTTAGTAAAATAATGTTTCTAAAGCTGTGAAGGCATTTTTTACTATGATTTTCTTAGTAAAAAGGCATTTTTAAAGCTGCGAAAGTGCTTTTTACTATAAATTTCTTAATAAAAAAGGTATTTTCAACATCATAAAAGTACTTTTTATTATAGTTTTTTTTAGTAAAAAAGGCATTTCCGATGCTGCAAAGGTATTTTTACTATAGTTTTCTTAGTAAAGACTACTTCTAAAGCTTTGAAGATAGCTTTACTATTGATTCAAATCAAATTAAATATTTAAATACTTGATTGGAATTTGATCGAATTAAATCAAATATAAATTTGAAATCAAATTGCAGAACCCTAGTGAATATTATTATATAAAGAAGATATAGATAATCTAAGAAACATATATGATTGCGGTGATTAAAATATCATATATGTCTTCTATGTTTTATAGTATTTATATTTCTTATATTTCTTATATATATTATATCATTTATATCTCTTATATTACATATATTTATTATAGTTATTATAGTTATTATATTATTTATATTTCTTATATATCTTCAAACACTTTATATAATTATTTTTATATAATAATTTGAGTCTTAGGATAGTAAACGATAGGTTTTTCTACAAGATTTTATTGTAGGTTTTAATGTTTTGTCTTTAGTTTAGTTTTAGAGTGTCGATAGAGGCAATACTTATTTGTTAGAGACATATTAAATAAACAATCAACCCTTTTGACTCAATCTATATATATAATCTTATAAACCTTTTGCCTTCTGCTTACCTTACCATGCTTTTAACCTTTAAGAGATCCTAAAAGAACTGACCATAATAATATACTTCAAAAACTATTTGATTTGCTACTAGTATTTTTCAAATAAGTCAATTATCAATACATTCTACAGTTAAATATACAAAAGATTTTTTATGAATTTTTAATTGAAGCATCTCTTTAAAATTAGCTATCAACTTTGTCTCTTCATACTTAGCATTAGGATGTTTCTCAGCTTTATATTACAATTCAAATTTTTAAAATTGCATATGTTCTAGCTTATGGAATTATGGTTAATGAATTTATTAGTAGAAAGATAAAAAATTTTATTATTTGTTATCAAGTTTGAAATGAACAAAAATAAGCTTCTAATATAATAATAGCAAATCTTTTAAATATTTCAAAATGTAATAGTGAAACTGTATCAAATACTATTATTGAACCCATTCAGAAAATAGAACTTGATATTATAAAATATATATTGTAAATTACAGATAATACTATATATATGTCTTCAGATAAAAAAGGTGAATTGCTCTTTTTAATTGTAAATACATTTCGAATTGGTTGTTAACTGTATATTATTCAAATTGTATTTAACTATTTTGAATAAGAAACATTTTGAATTCTTAAAAATTCTTTTGGATTTTCTTGAAATTCACATTCTTACAATCTTCTTTATTTAATATGAAACTTACATGATAGTATAACTCAAGTAATAAAGACAAACCTTTTAATATTAATGCAATAATAATCAAAAATTTACATGATAAATTAATGGTATTTCACTACAATCAATACCAATTATCACTTCATTCTTGTTGGAGTTATAAATTACAGATAGCTAAATAATATTTTAACTGCTATAAGACCCATATTTATTTTACTCATTGGTTTATTAATCAACTAAATAATTATAATAAAACTTCTAAAATATATTTTAAAGATTGGTATTTTTGTTGTTGAACCATTACTCAATATTTAAATCAAATATTTGGTAAATTTTGCAGAACACTTTTATGAACTATTAATACAATTTATTGTTAGTTAAGATGCTATTCCATGTATAATACAGAATAATCAATTAGTCCAATTGCTTTCTAATAAACATTTACATGAAATATCAGAAAAGTTTATAATTAAAAAGGTTTTTTAGAAAATCTTAGAGATAATTTCAAAATGTTTTTTGCAGATGAGTTGTTAGAAGGTACTGATACATTATCAAATAATGAATTTAGAAATTTATTTGATAGTTTAAAATACAGAATAATTAAAACATATGAATATTTTGAAAAATAGATGAATTCATGATTACATTTATCTTTGGTGATTTGTCGACTTAATGGTGATCATACTCAACCATTTGCTAACAGTTTTCATTTTATTGGATTAATTCACCTACAAAATTGGAACAGCAATACTTTCAGTTTACAATGAATTTAAAAATTTCTGCAAGACTGATAATCCTATATTATACAAATTTCCTTATCTTTATAATTTTGTTAAAACACATCTATTTTATTGTTATTCATCAATAACAGGTTAAGGGACTTTTCAATAAACTAGATTTGAAAACTCATGCAAACATATCATTATCTCTTAAATAATCAAAACTTCAAATAAGATTGAAAAAGAGAATTTGACAGAGGATCTTGAAAAAATACGGTTCAAAGAAAAGAAAAAAAAATATATTCCATTGCAAGATATTCAGCCATTACAATTTGGAGCAGAGATTTTTTGAAAATATAGTTAGTTGACAGTACACCCCAAGGGTGAATATCAGAATTATTGTTATTTACTACGTAGCGAACAAATTCCATCTGGTGTTGTTGCTTTATTTCAACAAAATGCATGGATGGATGTCAATTTTTTTATTGTCGGTTTATTAGTTCTTGTTGAAAATTTTTTATAGAGCGAATCCATATACTAAACAAATTACTATTTCAGGATTCTCCATGAACTTTAGATATTTCAGAATATTCGACGTGGTGAATGGAAGATCAATGAAAAATTCGCCATAAAGTTTTCTCAATGATAATCGAAACATTTTCGTTGAAGTGAGTATTTTGTTATCCACGGACTGGGTCAATTTTTATCTTCCAGTCGCTAGAGGGCTTTATTATAAATCTCGATGATGGAGAAAAAAAATTTCGCAATTTACGAGGGAATCATTTTAAAATACGTATAACGTTCAAAGTGCTAATCCTTCTCATCAAGAGGATTTTTTTTTTTTTCAATGTAGCGTGAATTTCACGCCGTATTTGTAATATTACAATAAAAAATAAAATAAATGTAAAGAAAAAATAAATAAATATATTTTGTACATTTATGATTATGGGTAAAATAGGTTTCTATGAATATCCCCGAGAAATAAGATTTAGTTTAATCAATTAAATCTTTATTTTCTTTATACATAATTTCTTTATACATTACATTACATTAATGATAAATTTGCTCAAAATTTGCTCAACGGCGAGAAATGTTTCTACGTTGTCTGACCGGTCGCCAAATATTGATTGCATCGAGAGCCTTTCGTAATGGATCCTTGAATCTTTCCAGATCATCAGGAAGCGGATCATTAAGTAGATTTTTTGCTACTTCCAAAGTTTGCCCGTTTTTATGAAATTTTATATTACTTTCGCTTTTTACCTCAAGCAAAAGCTTTATGTCGTCAGTTGTCATTCCGACATTACTTAAAATTTGATTTAATTTATCAAGACAATCAATTTCATCATCTTCGAGTTGCTCTTCAAGAAAAGAAAAAGAATCCACTGCCGTGTTCCATTCGCTTTCTCCTATTTTTCCTTTAACATGGTTAATAAAATTTTTAATCCAGTCCCTATAATTACTTAAAATTTTTACCCGACTTTCTGCTTGTTCTAACCGATCTAGCCGAATATTAGTTTTATCTAAATCATTTACGACCTCTTCTACGAGGTTAAAAGTGTTTTTTGCGAGCGTTGTCTGCTCTCCTACCATTTCATAGATATTTTTCATGTTATCTTTAATTGTTTCGATATTCAATATATGATGTTCCCATTTTTCCTCACCAACATTTGACCCATAAATATTTCTTGGCAAGCTTTCTATGCACTCATTATTTATTTCCTTTCGATTTTTAATATGTTTCTCGGTTTGTTCACACTTTTTCTTCAAATTTGATAACTTAGAATTATAATGTTTAGTTGAACTCGTAATTAATAGTGTCAAGTGGGAGTAAAATAAATTTAATCCGAGAGATATGGTGTGTGATGCTTTTAAAAGAAAATTTGAACTAATTTATTGACAATACAAATACGGATAATACTTATTCTGTTATACTTTTTTGGCTAGAAGCATTTACGCTGAATGAAGATAAACAAATTACTTCATTTTCACGGGGAATAAACTTGCCAATCCTCAAAAAAAACCGGTCGGGTCGATTACATAATCAAAGACCCTCGAGAAAAAGGTAGCTAAAGAATTTATCAACATACAATAATACAATGCTGCCTTTTTCTGATCATAAGAAAAAAGGACCTTCCAATGCAAAAGTGCGTTGCAAGTGAACAAGAAAAAACGCAAGGTGGGTGAATTTTTTTTTTCTGGAATGTTGCTTCGTCAAAGTTGTTCTAGTTATGATCTTTCCAATTATTAGATATTTTATACTATATGCATCGGATGAAATTTCTTGTTTGAGTAAGAAACTCACTCAAAATCTGGTTCATCGAGTCAGCTTCGAAAGAAAAGTCGGAGGAAAAATTAGAATTTTCATAAAAACGTGAAACGGCCGAAGTAATCGTTATTGAAGGAAAGATGGCGTTGAGAAAGATCCGGAAAAACAGAAGTAATGCGAGTGCACTCTAGAATAATCCAACAAACGCTTCCTTTTACGAAACAAATGTGTTAAAACACTACCTTCAAAAGATGTATTGCAAATACAACTCGTTAATAAAGAGATATTCATGCATGATGTTTTTGTTTTTTTGTTAGGGCCCTAGCAAAGAAATTGATCCGTGTTTTTTTTTCGTTTTTTCGTGAAGGGCTCATTTTCAAGGAATTTATAATCTCATTTACATACATATCTGACTGAATCAATAAATAATTAGATAATAGGATTACCAGCAAATAATCTAAATAATAAATATTTTTGAATTCAAGTTGAACTAAAATAATTAAGATTATATGTATTTAAGATATTAAATAAAAAATTTAACAGTAAATGTAACAATTTTTCATTAAAAGGGGGTAATTTCAAAAAAAAAATATATATATATTTTTTGAGAGGATATAGCTATGAATGAAAGGTTAGCAGCATATTTTTCTTCAAAATCTATTATGGCTTTTTATAAGGTTAATGAATTGTAATTATTCAAAGTAAAATAAATAGCAATTTGAAATCATAAATAAGAAAAATTTTTTCCTTATCTAAGTATTTCTAATAGGAATTTTTATGATTATATTTTGCAAATTCTATATAATTATCAAATTTTATCAATATAATAATAGGAAATGAAGGAGTTTTTAATCTTTTTCAAAGATAATATCATAAATCATTTCTACTTAAATATTAAATAATCTGGCTTTTGCCTATAAATTAATATTAAGCATAACTTTTACATTTCTTATTAATAAAAAAGATTTTATCATATCTGAATCAGCCTTACAAGCTTTGTATAAATAAATAGTATAATAAGATTATTCAAAAATTAGAGTTTATCAATATTACACTTTAATATCAAACTTCTGAAATAAGATATACATTGTATTTGAAAAATATAATAACTCTATAGCTAATATAATTAAAATATAAATAAAATAGATTACAAATCATCTATCTTTATATAATTGCAATAGTAATATTTTGAAATTGTATTGATCTTTATTGATCTTCTAAATTATCTGATTTATATCAAATTTATAAATCTCACAGAATTATTTATATGCTACCGCTATCAAAGCTGCTATTACCAATATTTTAAAAAAAAAAATTATATTTATTTTTAATATTATATTATGAAATAATATATAATATAATATAATATAATAATAATTTAAAAAAATCATGAAATCAGAAAATTTATTGTACTGATTTAGAATCAGATAAATATTTTATATTTTATATTTAAATTTTAATTTTAAATTGTAAACTCTTATTTAATATTATAATTAATTAATTTATACAGAATAAACAAAATTTATTTTTTTTTTTATTTTATTTTTTTTTTTTAATAAACATTTATTTATTAATTTCAAAAATTTAACAAATTATATTCATTTAATGATTAAATATATAAAATTACAATCAAAATAATATATACAATTTAATATTTATATATAAAAAATCTAACCAAAAGAATGTATATAATTTAATATTTATACATAAACAAAATTAATCAAAATAATATATATTATACTGATTAGACATAAAAAAATTATACAAATTATGTATATAATATACTAATTAAATATATAAATTCAGTATTTTTTTAGATATAAAAAAAGTTGATTTTCAGTATCTAATATATGTAATTATTTATAAATATATTATACTGTTTTTTTTTATGTATGTTATACATTTTTTAAATGTATTATTTTTATATACTTTCTTTATACAGATTATTTATAGAATGATATTGGAATTAAAAAAGAAATATTTATATTTTTAATAGATAAAAATTATCAAATATGTGATAATTTCCCTTGTAGATTTTCTTTGCTTTTTTAGTACATAAAACACAAACCTTAACTTTACTTAAAGTATCTTTATATCTTGATCAGAAAATTTTTTCAGCTGATCAAGCTTATGTTATATTAAGCCAATGCTTTAATTATAAAAAAATGCATATTGTTTAATTACATCTTATTACTTTTATTACAGATAAATCAATACTTAAAAAATATGAATAATTAGAATAAAAATCAATTACTTCTTTATCTTTGTAAATATAATAAACATTTAATAATTTTTTTTTTAATAAAAATAATTAACCTAATAAAATTCTTACTAAAAAACTCTCATATATCAAAATTTATTAAATTACTTTATAGATACAACAAAAAATTAATGTAAATATAATTATTGATTTTAATTTAATCTAATTCTTAATAAAGGATAAAGTCTCCTATATATTGTAACTTCAAATTATAAATGTAATTTTTAAATAATAAAATAATTAAAACTATTTTAAATTAAATAATTAAATAACCTTTATTAAATTCTTTTATTATTTATGTCATAATCACTAATCAAAATCATTTCATTCAGCACTAATACCACTCAGTTAACATTCAGCTGATTCGGTCATATGATTTGACAAAATTTAGCTTAAGTTACAAAAATTGATAGTCATTTATTATACTATACATAATTTAACATTATTTCGGCATTAGATCTTTCATCAAACATTCAGCTGATTTAGTCATTGATTTAGAAAATTTGGCTTAAGTTATAAAAATCGATAGTAATTTGTTACACCACACATAATTTAGCATTATTTTAGCATTAAGACCTTTCAGTTATAATAATCAGCAAAATTTCAGTTAGACTCAGAATTTGGCAACAAATTGACTATATCTCACTGGTCGAAATCTGTTGAGCCGATTTTTGCGAAAATTATAAAAACATTCTGAGAGTAATTATCCCAAAGAGACAATACATTCGTTTTCAAAAGAGACAATAGAAATTGTCTCAAAAGGAACGAAAAATCGTCTTAAAGAGATGATAGAAATTGTCACTAAAGGAACAATACATTCATTTCAAAAGAGATGATAGAAATTGTCTCAAAAGGAACAATACATTTGTTTCCAAAAAAGACGATAGAAATTATCTCAAAAGGAATGATACATTCGTTCCTAAAAGAGACGATAGAAATTGTCTCAAAAGAAACAAACAATCGTCCCAAAGAGACAATAGAAATCATTCCTAAAGGAATGATACATTCATTTCAAAAGAGATAATTTCAATCATTCCTAAAGGAACGATACATTCGTTCTCAAGGAGATGATAGAAATCATTTCAAAAGAAATGAACATTCATTCTAAAAGAGACAATTAAAATTGTTTCAAAAGGAACGATGTTTTCTTTATCATTCTTTCAGAATAATATGTCATCATTTTGAAAATAATGATTTTGTTATTGTTTGGTTGATTTTGCAATCGGATGATGCAAAATCATCCATTTATAACATTTATGATAAATAGTTTAAATTTCAAATTAATTGAAATTTTAGTTTAGTTCACAGTATAAAACTGATTAACTTTCGAAATATTCTGAAAAAATTTCTTTCTTTCTTTTTTTTTTTTTTAGAAATTTAACCTTTTCCTTTCTTTTTTCTTATTTTTTTAGGAAATTCTTATTTTGGAATTAAGGTAAGCGAATCAGAAGTGACTTTTGTGGCATTTTCCTTTCTTTGTTTTTGTTTTTTAGGAAATTCTTATTTTGGAAATTAAGGCAAGCAAATCAGAAGTAACTTTTAGATAGTTTTTAACTCTTTTTTTAGTAAATTTCTCTTTTCGAAACTCTTCCCCCTAAACACTCAAAATGACTAAAAATACGAATAAAACAAAAAAACCAAGTAACCGCGGACGTTCGAGTTCGCCAGTCACA